TGCCATAGCAACCATCATTTATTATGATTAATATGCTAATTATGGTTAAGCATCATAATGATCATCATGGTTGCTATGGCAACTATTTTTTATTATGATTAATAAGCTAATTATGATCAAAATCATCATAATGAGCATCATGGTTGCCATAGCAACCATAATTTATTATGATTAATGTTCTAATTATGATCAAAACCATCATAATGATCATCATGGTTGCCTTAGCAACCACAATATATTATGTTTAATATGTTAATTATATTCAAAATCATCATAATGATCATCATGGTTGCCTTTGCAAAAATAATTTAATATGACTAATATGCTAATTATGATCAAAATCATCATAATGAGCATCATGGTTACCATGGCAACCATCATTTTTTATGAATAATATGCTAATTATGATCATGATCATCATAATGATCATCCTAGTTGCCATAGCAACCATAATTTATTATGATTAATATGCTAATTATGATCAAAATCATATCATAATGAGCATCATTGTTGCCATAGCAACCACACTTTATTATAATAGATATGCAAATTATGCTTAATTTCATCATAATGATCATCATGGTTGCCATGGTAACCGTCATTTATTATGATTAATATGCTAATTATGATCAAAATCATCATAATGGCACCATGGTTACCATGGCAACCGTCATTTATTATGATTAATATGCTAATTATGATCAAAATCATCATAATGAGCATCATGGTTGCCATGCCAACCATCATTTAATATGATTAATATGGTAATTATGATCAAGATCATCATAATTATCATATTAGTTGCCACGGTAACCATCATTTATTATGATTAATATGCTAATTATGATAAAAATCATCATAATTATCATCATGGTTGCTATTGCAACCATAATTTATTATGATTAATATGCTACTTATGATCAAGATCATCATAATGATCATCATAGTTGCCGTAGCAACCATCATTTATTATGATTAATATGCTAATTATGATCAAAATCATCATAATGAGCATCATGGTTGCCATGCCAACCATCATTTAATATGAATAATATGGTAATTATGATCAAGATCATCATAATTATCATCATAGTTGCCATAGCAACCATCATTTATTATAATTAATATGCTAATTATGATCAAAATCATAATAATGAGCATCATAGTTGCCATCACAGCCATCATTTATTATATGCTAATTATGATCAAGATGATCATAATGATCATCATAGTTGCCATAGCAACCATCATTTATTATGATTAATATGCTAATTATGGTTAAGCATCATAATGATCATCATGGTTGCTATGGCAACTATTTTTTATTATGATTAATAAGCTAATTATGATCAAAATCATCATAATGAGCATCATGGTTGCCATAGAAACCATAATTTATTATGATTAATGTTCTAATTATGATCAAAATCATCATAATGATCATCATGGTTGCCTTAGCAACCACAATATATTATGTTTAATATGTTAATTATATTCAAAATCATCATAATGATCATCATGGTTGCCTTTGCAAAAATAATTTAATATGACTAATATGCTAATTATGATCAAAATCATCATAATGAGCATCATGGTTACCATGGCAACCATCATTTTTTATGAATAATATGCTAATTATGATCATGATCATCATAATGATCATCCTAGTTGCCATAGCAACCATAATTAATATGCTAATTATGATCAAAATCATCATAATGAGCATCATTGTTGCCATAGCAACCACACTTTATTATAATAGATATGCAAATTATGCTTAATTTCATCATAATGATCATCATAGTTGCCATGGTAACCGTCATTTATTATGATTAATATGCTAATTATGATCAAATCATCATAATGGCACCATGGTTACCATGGCAACCGTCATTTATTATGATTAATATGCTAATTATGATCAAGATCATCATAATGATCATCATAGTTGCCATGGCAACCATCATTTATTAAGATTAATCTGTTAATTATGATCAAAATCATCATAATGATCATCATAGTTGCCATGGCAACCATCATTTAATATGATTAATATGCTAATTATGAACAAAATCATCATAATGAGCATCATAGTTGCCATCACAACCATCATTTATTATATGCTAATTATGACCAAGATGATCATAATGATCATCATAGTTGCCATAGCAACCATCATTTATTATGATTAATATGCTAATTATGGTTAAGCATCATAATGATCATCATGGTTGCTATGGCAACTATTTTTTATTATGATTAATAAGCTAATTATGATCAAAATCATCATAATGAGCATCATGGTTGCCATAGCAACCATAATTTATTATGATTAATGTTCTAATTATGATCAAAATCATCATAATGATCATCATGGTTGCCTTAGCAACCACAATATATTATGTTTAATATGTTAATTATATTCAAAATCATCATAATGATCATCATGGTTGCCTTTGCAAAAATAATTTAATATGACTAATATGCTAATTATGATTAAAATCATCATAATGAGCATCATGGTTACCATGACAACCATCATTTTTTATGAATAATATGCTAATTATGATCATGATCATCATAATGATCATCCTAGTTGCCATAGCAACCATAATTTATTATGAATAATATGCTAATTATGATCAAAATCATCATAATGAGCATCATTGTTGCCATAGCAACCACACTTTATTATGATAAATATGCAAATTATGCTTAATTTCATCATAATGATCATCATGGTTGCCATGGTAACCGTCATTTATTATGAATAATATGCTAATTATGATCAAAATCATCAGAATGGCACCATGGTTACCATAGCAACCGTCATTTATTATGATTAATATGCTAATTATGATCAAGATCATCATAATGATCATCATAGTGGCCATGGAAACCATCATTTACTAAGATTAATATGTTAATTATGATCAAAATCATCATAATGATCATCATAGTTGCCATGGCAACCAAAATTTAATATGATTAATATGCTAATTATGAACAAAATCATCATAATGAGCATCATAGTTGCCATCACAACCATCATTTATTATATGCTAATTATGATCAAGATGATCATAATGATCATCATAGTTGCCATAGCAACCATCATTTATTATGATTAATATGCTAATTATGGTTAAGCATCATAATGATCATCATGGTTGCTATGGCAACTATTTTTTATTATGATTAATAATCTAATTATGATCAAAATCATCATAATGAGCATCATGGTTGCCATAGCAACCATAATTTATTATGATTAATGTTCTAATTATGATCAAAATCATCATAATGATCATCATGGTTGCCTTAGCAACTACAATTTATTATGTTTAATATGTTAATTATATTCAAAATCATCATAATGATCATCATGGTCGCCTTTGCAAAAATAATTTAATATGACTAATATGCTAATTATGATCAAAATCATCATAATGAGCATCATTTGCCATAGCAACCATCATTTTTTATGATTAATATGCTATTTATGATCAAGATCATCAAAATGATCATCATAGTTGCCCCTGCAACCATCATTTATTATGATTAATTTGCCAATTATGGTCAAAATCATCATAATGATCATCATGGTTGCTATATCAACCATAATTTATTATAATTAATATGCTAATTATGATCAAAATTATCATAATGAGCATCATGGTTGCCATGCCATTTCAACCATCATTTATTACGATTAATATGTTAATTATGATCAAGATAATCATAATAATAATCATAGTTGCGATGGCAACCAGCATTTCTTATGAAGAATATGCTAATTATGATCAAAATCATCATAATGAGCATCATGGTTGGCATTGTAACCATAATTCAATATGAATAATATGCTAAATATGATCAAAATCATCATAATGAGCATCTTAGTTGCCATGGCAACCATAATTTATTATGATTATTATGCAAATTATGATCAAGATCATCATAATGATCATAATAGTTGACATAGCAACCATCATTTATTAGGATTAATATGCTAATTATGATCAAGATCATCATAATGATCATCATAGTTGCAATGGCAACCATCATTTTTTATGATTAATATGCTAATTATTATCAAAATCATCATGATGAGCATCATGGTTGTCATGGCAACCATCATTTATTATAATTAATATGGTAATTATGATCAAGATCATCATAATGATCATCTTAGTTGCCACGGTAACCATCATTTATTATGATTAATATGCTAATTATGATAAAAATCATCATAAATATCATCATGGTTGCCATGGCAACCATAATTTATTATGATTAATATGCTACTTATGATCAAGATCATCATAATGATCATCATAGTTGCCATAGCAACCATCATTTATTATGATTAATATGCTAATTATGATCAAAATCATCATAATGAGCATCATGGTTGCCATGGCAACCATCATTTAATATGATTAATATGGTAATTATGATCAAGATCATCATAATTATCATCATAGTTGCCATAGCAACCATCATTTATTATGATTAATATGCTAATTATGATCAAAATCATCATAATGAGCATCATGGTTACCATGGCAACCATCATTTATTATGAATAATATGCTAATTATGATCATGATCATCATAATGATCATCCTAGTTGCCATAGCAACCATAATTTATTATGATTAATATGCTAATTATGATCAAAATCATCATAATGAGCATCATTGTTGCCATAGCAACCACACTTTATTATGATAAATATGCAAATTATGCTTAATTTCATCATGCAAACTAGACCGCCTTGGATGAACAAAAAAGCCAGAATTAAAAAGGTAAACAAAATACTGGCAAAAGTACAAAATATTGTACATACGAAAATCTAGGATTAAAAATTATGTCCCAAATGAAATGATCTCAACAAAGCAGTTCCAAAATTGTTTCGATTTTATCATGCTAATAATAAGCAATTGCTTGTACAATAAATAGGGATTAATAGTATGCGCCATCGCATGATTTCCAATAATAATACTAATACCAATACATTCTTCCACTGCACTATGTGCTATGCATGAACAACTTTAAATTTATATGAATATACCAATAACACTCACCACATTTCCACGCAATGTGCTTCATCTACAACACACGCGACAACATTTCTTTGAAACACTGTACTTTTCATTAGATTTCTTCCTTTCTCACTTAATAAGGCTTCCGGGTGGGTAAAAAGAAGTTGAACATCGCCATTTAACATCTTGTCGCTTAAAAGTACACCTACATCATCACTTTCTGCAGTCATTTCATCCGATTTAAACAAGCTTTCCGCTACTTTCATACGATGATCAACAAGCTGGAGAACTTCTGCCTCAATACCGATGTTCTTAGCAACCTTTAACTGGTCCTCGATGATTGCGTTTAAAGGACAGACAACAATAACGATATTTTTGTCAGCTTTGGTCGGCAAGAAATTTGGCAGAAGTTGAAACAGAAGAGATTTGCCAAAGCCAGTTGGTAAAACATCAACGACGTCAAATCCGTTTAGTATGGGCTCAAAACATTTAATCTGTAACGGCTTTAAGACAAACGATGGGAAACCTCCCATATTTAAAGCATTATGAAGTCGCTGCAGCACGTGTAAGTGGTGTAAACACTTCGAAGGGTCGGCCATCTTGGAATATTTAATTATCGATTTAAAACCACGATTCGTGGTTTTTTAATCAGCCGGTAACAGGGCCTTTTTCTCTTCTCCCCCCTCCGCGTTTTTAATAAAGGCCCTGGGAACGAGGTTGATCAAAATGATCATCATAGTTGCCCCTGCAACCATCATTTATTATGATTAATTTGCCAATTATGGTCAAAATCATCATAATGATCATCATGGTTGCTATGGCAACCATGCTTTATTATGGTTAATATGCTAATTATAATCAAGATCATCATAATGATCATCATGGTTGCCATAGCAACTATCATTTATTATGATTAATATGCTAATTATGATCAAAATCATCAAGATGAGCATCATGGTTGTCATGGCAACCATCATTTATTATAATTAATATGGTAATTATGATCAAGATCATCATAATGATCATCTTAGTTGCCACGGTAACCATCATTTATTATGATTAATATGCTAATTATGATCAAAATCATCATAATGATCATCATGGTTGCGATGGCAACCATAACTTATTATGATTAATATGCTAATTATGATCAAGGTCATCATAATGATCATCCTAGTTGCCATGGCAACCATCATTTATTATGATTAATATGCTAATTATGATCAAAATCATCATAATAAGCATCATGTTTGCCATAGCAACAATGATTTATTATGATTAATATTCTAATTATGGTCAAAATCATCATAATGATCATCATAGTTACAATGGCAACCATCATTTATTATGAATAATATGCTAATTATGATCAAGGTCATCATAATGATCATCCTAGTTGCCATGGCAACCATCATTTATTATGATTAATATGCTAATTATGATCAAAATCATCATAATAAGCATCATGGTTGCCATAGCAACCATGATTTATTATGATTAATATTCTAATTATGGTCAAAATCATCTTAATGATCATCATGGTTGCGATGGCAACCATCATTTATTATGAATAATATGCTAATTATGATCAAGATCATCATAATGATCATCATAGTTGCAATGGCAACCATCATTTATTATGATTAATATGCTAATTATGATCAAAGTCATCATAATGAGCAACATTGTTGCCATGGTAACCATCATTTATTATGATTAATATGCTAATTATGATCAAAATCATCATAATGATCATCATGGTTGCGATGGCAACCATCATTTATTATGATTAATATGCTAATTATAATCAAGATCATCATAATGAGCATCATGGTTGCCATAGCAACTATCATTTATTATTATTAATATGCTAATTATGACCCAGATCATCATAATGATCATCGTAGTTGCCATGGCAACCATCACTTATTATAATTAATATGCTAATTACGATCAAAATCATCAAAATGATCATCATGGTTGCGATGGCAACCATCATTTATTATGATTAATATGCTAATTATGATCAAGATCATCATAATGATCATCATAGTTGCCATGGCAACCATCATTTATTATAATTATTTTTTAATTATGATCAAAATCATCATAATGAGCATCATGGTTGCCATGGCAACCATCATTTATTATGATTAATATTCTAATTATGGTCAAAATGATCATAATGATCACCTTGGTTGCCATGGTAACCATCATTTATTATGATTACTATGCTTATTATGGTCAAAATCAACATAATGAGCATCATGGTTGCCATGGCATTTATAATTTGTTATGATTAATATGCTAATTATGATCAAGATCATCATAATGATCATCATGGTTTACATGGTAACCACCATTTATTATGATTAATATGCTAATTATGATCACAATCATCATAATGAGGATCATGGTTGCCATGGCAACAATCATTTAGTATATTTAATATGGTAATTATGATCAAGATCATCATAATGATCATCATAGTTGCCATAACAACCATCATTTATTATGATTAATATGGTATATATGATTAAGATCATCATAATGATCATCATAGTTGCCATGGCAACCATCATTTATTATGATTAATATGCTAATTATGATAAAAATCATCATAATTGTCATCATGGTGCTATGGCAACTATAATTTATTATGATTAATATGCTAATTATGATCAAGATCATCATAATGATCATCATGGTTTACATGGTAACCATCATTTATTATGATTAATATGCTAATTATGATCACAATCATCATAATGAGGATCATAGTTGCCATGGCAACAATCATTTAGTATATTTAATATGGTAATTATGATCAAGATCATCATAATGATCATCATAGTTGCCATGGCAACCATCATTTATTATGATTAATATGGTAATTATGATCAAGATTCATAATGATCATCATAGTTGCCATGGCAACCATCATTTATTATGATTAATATGCTTATTATGATCAAAATCATCATATTGATCATCATAGTTGCCATAGCAACCATCAATCATTATGATTAATATGCTAATAATGATCAAAATCATCATAATGAGCATCATGGTTGCCATTGCAACCATCATTTAACATGAATAATATGGTAATTATGATCAAGATCATCATATTATCATCCTAGTTGCCATAGCAACCATCATTTATTCTGATTAATATGCTAATTATGATCAAGATCGTCATAATGATCATCATAGTTGCCATTGCAAACATTATTTATTATGATTAATATGCTAATTATGATCAAGATCATCATACTGGTCATCATAGTTGCCATATCAACCATAATTTATTATGACTAATATTCTAATTATGATCAAAATCATCATAATGAGCATCATGGTTGCTATAGCAACCATCATTTATTATGTTTAATATGCTAATTATGACCAAGATCATAGTAATGATCATCATAGTTGCCATGGCAACAATCATTTATTATCATTAATATGCTAATTATGAAAAAAATCATCATAATGATCATCATAGTTGCGATAGCAACCATAATTTAATATGATTAATATGCTAATTATGATCAAGATTATCATAATGATCATCATAGTTGCCATAGCAACCATCATTTATTATAAATTAATATGTAATTATGATCAAAATCATCATAATGAGCATCATAGTTGCCATGGCAACCAAAATTTATTATGATTAATATGCTATTTATGATCAAGATCATCATAATGATCATCTTAGTTGCAATGGCAACCATCATTTATTATGATGAATATGTTAATTATGGCCAAAATCATCATAAAGATCATCATGGTTGCGATGGCAACCATAATTTATTATGATTAATATGCTATTTATGATCAAGATCATCATATGATCATCTTAGTTGCCATGGCAACCATCATTTATTATGATTAATATGCTATTATGATCAAAATCATCATAATGAGCATCATGGTTGCCATAACAACCATGATTTATTATGATTAATATTCTAATTATGATCAAAATCATCAAAATGATCATCATGGTTGCAATGGCAACCATAACTTATTATGATTAATATGCTAATTATGATCAAGGTCATCATAATGATCATCCTAGTTGCCATGGCAACCATCATTTATTCTGATTAATATGCTAATTATGATCAAAATCATCATAATGAGCATCATGGTTGCCATAACAACCATGATTTATTATGATTAATATTCTAATTATGGTCAAAATCATCATAATGATCATCATAGTTGCGATGGCAACCATCATTTATTATCATTAATATGCTATTATGAAAAAAATCATCATAATGATCATCATAGTTGCGATAGCAACCATAATTTAATATGATTAATATGCTAATTATGATCGAGATTATCATAATGATCATCATAGTTGCCATAGCAACCATCATTTATTATAATTAATATGTAATTATGATCAAAATCATCATAATGAGCATCATAGTTGCCATGGCAACCAAAATTTATTATGATTAATATGCTATTTATGATCAAGATCATCATAATGATCATCTTAGTTGCAATGGCAACCATCATTTATTATGATGAATATGTTAATTATGGCCAAAATCATCATAAAGATCATCATGGTTGCGATGGCAACCATAATTTATTATGATTAATATGCTATTTATGATCAAGATCATCATAATGATCATCATAGTTGCCATGGCAACCATCATTTATTATGATTAATATGCTAATTATGATCAAAATCATCATAATGAGCATCATGGTTGCCATAACAACCATGATTTATTATGATTAATATTCTAATTATGATCAAAATCATCAAAATGATCATCATGGTTGCAATGGCAACCATAACTTATTATGATTAATATGCTAATTATGATCAAGGTCATCATAATGATCATCCTAGTTGCCATGGCAACCATCATTTATTATGATTAATATGCTAATTATGATCAAAATCATCATAATGAGCATCATGGTTGCCATAACAACCATGATTTATTATGATTAATATTCTAATTATGGTCAAAATCATCATAATGATCATCATAGTTGCGATGGCAACCATCATTTATTATGATGAATATGCTAATTATGGTCAAAATAATCATAATGATCATCATGGTTGCGATGGCAACAATCATTTATTATGAATAATATGCTAATTATGATCAAGATCATCATAATGATCATCATAGTTGCAATGGCAACCATCATTTATTATGATTAATATGCTAATTATGATCAAGATCATCATAATGAGCATCATGGTTGCTATGGCAACCATCATTTATTATGATTAATATTCTAATTATGGTCAAAATCATCATAATGATCATCATAGTTGCCATGGCAACCATTATGTTTTATGATTAATATGGTAATTATGATCAAGATCATCATAATGAGCATCATGGTGTCCATATCAACCTCATTTATTACGATTAATATGCTAATTATGATCAAAATCATCATAATGAGCATCATAGTTGCCATGGCAACCAAAATTTATTATGATTAATATGCTATTTATGATCAAGATCATCATAATGATCATCTTAGTTGCAATGGCAACCATCATTTATTATGATGAATATGTTAATTATGGCCAAAATCATCATAAAGATCATCATATTGCGAT